TTTATATACCCTAGTGATTTGTGCTCTATCTGATGTGTGAGGGGTAAAGATTTGCTCCCAAGATGTAGGCTTTCTATTCACCTCACAGATTGTTTCTTTTGCTGAGAAGAAACTTTTTAGTTTGAGTCCATACCATTTATTGATTCTTGATTTTAATTCTTGTGCCACAGGAGTATTATTAAGGAAGTTGGGGCCTAATCTCACATAACGGAGATTAGGGGGTTAGGCCCCTTTCTAAAAGGTACTCTGTCCCATTAGTAAACTTTATAATGTACAAGCCTTTCCAACCAGCCTTCTTCACCCTTTGCAGTTTACAACCCTAAGAATAGCACCAAAGCCTGTGTTTTTCTAATTTATATACCAGGACGTGTGTGTATTGTTTCCTGTGTGAGTAGACAGAGTCACTGATTGCATAGCCGTGGGACTCGATAAAGCCACATGCATTGACCTGGAGCAGTTTGAAGGATGCTTATGAAGCTGCATAGTAACTTTAGGAAATGTTTTTATAACCCGTATTGTGTTCCTGCCTCTGCTAATTATTACAAGGAAGCACCCCCTTAATATCCGTTAGCCTTTCACAGGTAAGAACAAAGAGATTGCTGTTCCCACCTGGGTCACAGTTGGGGGTTTTATTCTGTAGTATTGTTCAGTGTACTGTTTAGCAAGACCTCATGAAAAATTACCGAAAATGGGACAGGAAAACTAGGTAAAGTGTTAATTGAGCAGTCTCTTGTCATTGGGATAAAAACATCTTTTTTTTTTTTTTTTTTTCTTTTTCTCTTTTTATGGCACCGTAAGGCATTAGGGACACTCTGGAGATTGCAGCAAGGGGAAGATCATAATGATAATGCTTCAAATTCAAAACTTCAATTCCTTCTGGTTAATAAAACAGGTTCACGTCTCTTAATCTGTTGTTCTTCATATCAGAACTTCCTCTATCTCATCTCTTGTTATTGTTTTACTATTTGGATACCTTTTCAATGAAGCCGATAGAATCACTTCCCCAAAGCCACCCTCCTTGTGAACACAGACATTTTGCTTTGCCAGGAAATTAATTGACTCATGTTCCTGCATGCTGGGGCTTGTTGTAGGGTGGCTGTATTCTGAAACTATCTCAGAGATATGTGGTTTGTGTTTGCTTCTGCTCAGAGACAGGTGTTTGCCCTCAACTTGTTTGTAACTGAGTGTTTCCCAAGAGAAAAATATTAACAAATGACCATAACCTGTTCAAGAGTCTTGATTTAAGAAACAGCCTACCAGTCATTCTCTGGGTTTTTCTCCCACCATGCCTGTGTTCCCAGTGGTCTCTTCCTTGATTGTCTTAAACTCATGTATTTTGCGAGTGCACAACATAATTTTGTTTCCTTCGCTCTTCAAAGGACAATTTTTCATTTGTTTGTGCCTTAAATTTTCTTAGCATATGTCTTTGCTTGGCAACCTCAAGCAATTTGGGGGGATATCCTTCACTGGAGGCTCCTCAAAATCACTATCTAAGGTTGGTAGAAGAGATGTACAGAAGCAGGCATACTAGTAGTAGCTACATAAGCAATAGGTAGAGTGCCGATCCCTTGCATCATGTTAATGTAATTTAATCCTCACATGGCCATATGAGGTAAATGGTTTTATTTCCAATTTAAATACGAGAAAGCTTATATAACTGAAATGCAAAGAGATCAAAGTAACTTTGCAGTGTATCTACAGACAGTAAATGGCAAAATCAGCTAATCAGTGGATCCCATGCTACTACGGGAAGGTAAAATGAGTCTCCTTGCCTTGCTAGAAAGTTTTACTGGTTGAAGAAAGAATAAGCAGCAGATCTTTAGCAGCAGTTCTTTTTTTTTTTTTTTTTTTAATCTTTATTTCTTAGTTATAGGTGGACATAATACCTTTATTTTATTTTTATTTGGTGCTGAGGATCAAACCAGTGCCTCATGCATGCTAGGCAAGCGCTCAACCTCTGAGCCACAACCCCAGCCCAGCAGCAGTTCTTTATTATTGTAGCAACCATAACTGGGTTAATCATATCTCAAACCACTGAAGCATCTGCATCCACTTCCTATTGCTGTCATAACAAATTACATAAGTGGCTTTGACAACACAAAGTTATTGTCTTACAAGTCTACAGGTTTGCAATCTAATGGGGGTCTCACTGGGCTTAAAGAGGGAAAAAAAAAAAGTGGCAGAGCCATATTTCTCTCTGTAGGTTTGGGGAGAATCCATTTCCTGCACTGCTCGGTTCATGGTCCCTATACATCTTTAAAGCCAGCCATGGTAGATGGAGTTCTTCTCCCATCTCTATCACTCTGAGGTTGGCTCTTCTATCTCCTTCTAATGTCATCTTGTGATGGCATTATTCCTGCTTGGTTAATCCAGAATAGTCTTTATATCTTAAGATCAGCTGCTTACCAAACTTAATTCCATCTACTACCTCTTTTATAAGGGCACTGATATAACCGATCATGAGCACTTTACCCCCATGACCTAATCATATCCTTCTAATATCATCTTAGGAGTTTGGGTTTCAGTATAGAAATTCTGGGGGCATACTTTCAGACCATATACCTTGTGAAAAAAGGTTCCATATACCTTGTGAAGAGAATTTGGGAAGTTAAGTATGGTGGCACATGCCTGTAGTCTCAGCTACTCAGGAGGCTGATGTAGAGGATTGTGAGTTTGATGCCAGTGTGGGCAACATGGTGATTTCATTTGAGGAGGCTAATTAGTTTGCCTGAGACATACATATTCAGTGATTAATTTAAACTTCTGGGATAAAACTACATTTTCTGTTTTTATACATCACTCAGAAAATGACTCAAGGTTGAACCAGAATGGTGTTTTAACTGGAAATCAGAACTGAACGTGCCTACTTAGGTAACAGTCCCCACTTATAGGATGTGCCTGGCTTCTGGCTTAGTTGCAAAAGTTCTGATTTCTCCGATCTTGGAGGAAAAACTCTCAGAGGGGGGACAAGTTCTCCTAACACATTTCATTCTAGAATTTCTCTTGGGTATGTTGTCTACTTTCCTCAGCTCTGGTTGTAAATTCCATTTGTCTTATATCAAGCCCACACCTCACTTCTGATCTGCTATGGGTTATTTGGACCTTTTGGTTAAATTTTACCCTCCTGAGGCCTTTACAAAGTGGACAAGGCATCATATTTCATGGCCAGAAAATGAAGAATCAAAAAAAGATGTTATTTGCAACAAGGTGTATAGCCAATAATTCTGCAGGGATCTTTGCTAAAATGGGAAAATATATAATATTCCACTTAAAAGAAGGAATTAAACTATAAACAGGTATCATGTATATGTAATACGATATAAAGCATAAAGTAATACATGTTTTGCCTTAAAGTAAAGCAGTTCAGTACAAAGAGAGAAATAACAAGGCAAAGGGCCAAAGAGAGGAGGGGTAGACAGAGGTGATGGGGCATTAGTGCTTGAATGTCTTTTGGAGTATAGCCACTGGGGGATTTGAAACCCTGCTTTCATAATCACAGTTGCAAGTGGGACTGTTGTTAATACTAGACTAATTGAAGACTCAGACCAGATGGAGCTTGAGCAAAGGATTTTGCACCATTTGTTGGGCAGTCTTTCCAACAGAGAGGAGCTTCTATTGATATAGCTAGAACAGCCATTGAACCTTTTCTTCACCCCTTCTGACATTACTTAGGGTTAACTAGGCCTCTCCCCTAAGGTTGGGAGGATCAAGGGCAGCATTTGGGTTGTTCCAGGGCACTGAGGCCTCATCTCCAAGTGAGATGGCTTCGTTGCCAGCTAGTGTGGTGAAGTAGGAGTAACAGGTTAATTTTAGTCTACAGACATGTGGCTGTGTAAATAGAACTTATAAAAGGATTTCTCAGTACTGTCCCCTACTCCTGCCTCTGGAAGAAGACATCAAATTATATACCTTCCCCTGTGGACTCTCCCTTGTTTCATCTCTCCCTGTCCCTCCCCTCTGTGGGAAAGATAGGGATTATCTTTCCTGTTTCAAGTTTAGAAAAAAAAATTAATAGACATAAATAAAAAGTAGTTTGTTCTGAATCAGGCATTGTGGCTCATGCTCGTAATCCTAGCTACTCATGCCAAGGATTAGGGTAAGGAGGCAAGAGGATCTGAAGTTTGAGACCAGCCTGAGCAATTTAGTGAATTTCTTTCTCAAAGGGCTGGGGATATAGCTCAAAGGCACAGTACCTGCCTAGCACTACAAGTCCTTGGGTTCAATTCCCAACATGGAAAAATAAATAAATAAAAGTAGTTTGTTCTAAAAACTTCTACAAGAAATTTCTGCAGAAATTCCCTTGGGAATTTTAACCCCTTTTGTAGATTCAAAAATCTTGTACCAAAAATTTGAACCAAGAGACTTAAGAACTGGTTAGAGTTGGTAATAGGAACAAGCTAAATGAGGTGGCAAAGAGACAGATTCCCATATGTAGGGCAAGATAGATAGCTGCTTTATTCAGTGGGTCACTGATCTGGGAATTGCCCTTAATTTGGAGGTATGGCAATCAAAATGTAAGGTAAGGACCTTGTTTGTACCCTGAAACTAAGGATGCAATAGTTAAACAACAACAACAAAACAAAATTTTTTAAGTCCATCAGGGACATCTGGACATGGTCTAAGTAAAAGCCTAGAATTTATAACCATGAAAAACCTAACAAATGAAGCAAGTTTGACAAAATGTGCAATCTGGTGAATCTAGGTGATGGGTTTACAGGGCTCACTCTGTGATCTGTAATCCGTGATGATGAAACATTTTCATTTTGACTTCTTATGTGTTTACCTGGCCTCCTGGGCCTATGGTAAGTGGTCAAATTTTCATTCCTGTTGAGCTATCTAGAACCAGAAGAGCCAGATGCCCTCCTAAAGCTGCCTTATGAGCAACTGCTATCATCATCTGGGGCTGTTGATTCGGGATTGAAAGAGTAGGATGTTGTCCTAGATGATGATGGTTTAGAGGTGGCTTTTTTTTTTTAACCTTTCACTTTATTTTTCTATAGGACCACCATGAGGCCCCAGACCTTCTATGATGGATGTCATTCCTGTACCAGAGGAGTATGCCATATTCCATTGGCTGAGCCGTTCTGCCCCAAAACAAGAGAGGTTCGTAGACTTTCAGGAAGATGTACCAGAGCAGTTCATAAGGGCCTGGGGTGATTTCTGCAGTTATATCAGTTAGCTGAGCAGGTGGTGTCCCTTCTTCTTTCAAGCTTTTTATTGAGGGTCTTGCCTCTGAGGCTAGCCTCCCAAGTCACTGGCATTGTAGGCATGTACCACCATGCCTGTCTGGAACCTACCTTTTTAATAAGCTCCTATTTTGTGGGCTGGGGTTGTAGCTCAGTGGTAGAACACTTGCCTGTCATGTGCGATGTGCAAGGCCCAGGGTTCAATCCCCAGGTACTGCCAAAAGAAAAAAAAAAAAAGTTCTATTTTGCTGTCAGAATACTTTTTAAATAATTTAATATAGGACAGCATGATAGTTCAGAGTATATACTGAGCTGAGTACAGTATCACCCACCTCTAATCCCAGCAGCTCGGGAGGCTGAGGCAGGAGGATTGTGAGATCAAAGCCAGCCTCAGCAGTTTAGTGGTTAAGTGCTGCTGGGTTCAATCCCCAGAACCAAAAAATAATAATTAAAAGAAGAAGAAAATATAGCCTGAAGCCAGATTACTTAGCATCAAGGCTGTGCTCTTTAGCTTGATAGCTGTGTATTATCGGGCAAATTATTTAACATCTCTGGGCTTCAGAAATGTAAAAAGAAGACAATGATAACATATTTCCCAGGACCGTGAGGGGCAAAAGAGCTAATACAAAGTGTTTTGAACCATGTCTGTCAGTTATAGGACATCTAATGATTAATAACTGCTTTTATGAATTAAATTTTTATCGATAATCTAAAAATGTTCGGATTGGCATCTTCTGCTTTTGAGCTGAGTTTGTCCATTATTGTCCAGCCTCTGCTCTAACATTAGAGTACAATCTCAGAAATATGGTGGCAGTCACACAGGGACCATTTATGGCATCAAGTGAGAATCTCAGCCTTAACTTCCAGTAAATTAAAAATGTCTCTTATAGAAAGATCCTGTGTTGTGTCACTTTTCTTGAAATCCTCGGTTTGAAAGTCAGGTGCAACCCAAAAGATTAGAAGTATTGCCATTTGTGTTAAAATCTCTGTATGTATAAAGAGATGAGTATTTTTAGAAAATTTACCAGAAACTTGTAACCGGGGTTTCCCTTGGAGGGCAGGTGACCTGGTTCCTAAGTCAGGGTGAGAGAAATTCTATCCCAACCTAACAGCCTTTTACGTATTATTTTGGTTTGGACCATGTACACATGTTACTTGTTCTGAAAATGATATCACTTGTAGTCATTTCAGAAGATACAAATGTTCTAATACATCTTTATCTGAATGTTCTAATACATTTTTTTCTGGTGATCTAATATTGCTAGTCCCTTTACGAGGATGTGATGGAGCTCCATTTTGATTACTCAAGATAAGAAAATGAAATCATCTTAGCCTCAGAACTGAGTTTGGCCCTGTAGTTTATTTTCCCCGCTTCCTTGGGGTGTTATTACTTGTTCTCCTGGGAGTACAAAGTATTGGTTCAGCAATGAGGCCCCCAGGGTCTGTCACTGTAACCAACCTGAATCCAGAAGTCTCCTTTTCCTCCTCACAGACATGGTACCAACTCTCAGAGCATTGGGGAGGACTTAGGTGTCAGGTGTCACTGGCCAGTGGGACACAGTAGCTGTGATCTTAACACATGTCTAGAAACTGAAGTTTAGCCAAGACACACAGCTCCATTATTCTTCAAAGACACTTAATAAAGGCAAGACTGGGTTGGGGGGAGGGGAAGTAGGGACTTGGGCCCTTGGATTTATAACTTGTACTGTGTGGGAGAAAGGGTAGATTAAACATAATTTATTTTCAGCATTCATAAAATAAAAGCACAGTACAGCATCTAGTGTTCATTGCTGACTGCTTATTATGGTTCCAAATTGGGAGTTGCCAAAGCTCCTATTAAAATTTTCTTTCCCTTTTCCATGGCATAATGAGTTATATGTAAGGAAATAGATTAATTTGCTTATAGAGTTCAGACTTGTGCAGGTAAAATTTAGCCTAGATTAGAGCCGTCTTTTGACTTTTGAATCCCTCCATTTTATATATCCACTATCGCAGGAATCTGCCATTCATTTGGCAAACTTGTAGAAGTTGCTGATATTAGTGATCATTGAAAGACCAGTTTAGCCTTTATGTAGTGTTTACAGTGTTCTGGGACAATTCTGTGCAACCGTATACCTTAGCTTATTTAATCCATGATATTTCTGAGTTATACAATATTGTTATTCCCATTTTACAGATGAGAATACTAAGGCATGAGGTTAAGTGACTTTTCAACAGTGCTTTAATGGGTTAACAGCTAAGTTGAAGAAAACTAATTTTTTTTATATTAAAAGGGAATGTTGACACAGACTAAGAAAAAATTAAATTAATACCCTGAAGATAGACATTCATTATTAATTAAAACACTGGACAAAATGATCAAAATTTTTAATGTTTCTAAAACCCATATATGATCTTCTCTCTAAAGGAATGCCAAGATAAATTTATTCCTGGATGGAAAAAATCAGCACAGCTCCATTCTGTTCACCATATGTCCTTAGAGCAGCAACAGGCAACAGAGAAATGACTTTCTAACTCAAAACAAAGATTGTACTAAAGCCTGCACCTTCTGGGGTGGGGTGGGTCGGGGGAAGGGGGGGCATGAGCACTTACTCCTCAGGAGCTTTGGAAATAGAATTCAGCACAACTCTTTCAAGAGATGTGCATGTCAGAAGGCTCCTTAGCTTACTCTGAGAAGTCAAGAGGTAAAACTCAAGTCCAAATTCACAACCCAGCTTAGATTCTTAAAGTTGTGAAAAATAAAGCAGGTAAGCAAATTCCTGGTGCATAAAGAGATCTCCTTGTCTGTTCCTATAGTGTTGATCTATCTATGCAAGGGGACTGTATGAATGAGTAAGGGGCTAGTGTAGGAGACCCCATTCTGTGGTCTATTTTAAATAAATAACTTGTTAAACATCAGGGAATAAATAAAATTATAAATCATACATATGTTCATATGTTTTTAGTTTGTGTTTGGTTTTTTTTTTTTTCCCCCCCTAGGTTCTCATAGAGACTGCTAAGAAGCTAGGACTCCGGTGCCACTCAAAGGGGACAATAGTCACAATCGAGGGACCTCGGTTTAGCTCCCGGGCAGAAAGCTTCATGTTCCGCACCTGGGGGGCAGATGTTATCAATATGACCACAGTTCCAGAGGTGGTTCTTGCCAAGGAGGCTGGAATTTGCTATGCAGGCATCGCCATGGCAACAGATTATGATTGCTGGAAGGAGCATGAGGAAGCAGTAGGTGGAATTCTCTTCTGAGCATGTGCAACATGGGTTTCGGGGTACCAAGAGCTTTTGAGAAAACATCTTAATTATTTTGTGTATGTGTTAGTTTCAGAGAGTGAGATCTTTTGTCCAGGAATCAAGAACAGTACATTCATTGTAGGCATGTAGATCTGCTGAAAATCACAATAAGACTTGGGCCTTACTTGAAGGATAAAGATGTGTTGTGGTTGTAATTTTTTTGTACGAAAGGGGTTAATGTTGAAACGATACAGGAGTCCCTCTCCAGTTGACCAAACCATTTATTTGAAGTCTGAGAACCTTCCTGGTTTAAGTATGATGGGGGGCAGGAGAGGCATGATGGAGAGGAGGGAGATGGCAGCAAGATGTGGCAGGACCACAGACAATGTGAGCATTCTGGATGCAAGACCACAGAGGGCTTGAAGCAAGGAAGATAGCAGGTCCTACTAGAATTTGAAGCTTCCAAAACAAACATTTTTATTGTGGGAAACTATAAAGATCTATGGAACCCACCTCTCAACTTCTACAGGTACCAACCCTGGCCAGTCTTGTGTCATGCATGTCCCTTTCTGTTTCTCCGACCACTACCCTCTTTTTGAAGTAAATAGTTTTCTAATATGGCATTTTTTTTAATTTTTAAAAAAATTAGCCACTGTTATTAGTTTCTTGATATAGTCAAATATTTAGACTGCTTGTATTTTCCTTCTGGTCTCATGATCTTTAAAAATTTAGTCAAATTGGGATCCCTGCAGCTCAGACATTGTGTGTTAATGGTATGCCTCTTAAGGGTCTTTTAGTAGTCTCCGCCCTCTGTTCTCATTCCTGTGAGAGCATTTGTCTTGTCATTTATCTCAGTTTAAAATAGAAAAAGGGCCAGGCACAGCAGTACATGCGTATAATTCCAGCAACTCAGGATATTGAGGCTGGGGAGGATCGCTAGTTCAAGGCCAGCCTCAGCAACTTAGTAATGCCCTATCCCAAAATGAAAAATAAAAAGGGCTGGGAATGTGGCTCAATGGTAAAGGGCCCCTAGAATCCATCTTCAATACCAAATATAAAATAAAATAGAGAAAGAGACAAAACTAGGGTTACCAAACTTGAAGGAAGGGAGATGATACCTCCAAAGAGGCCCTTACCACATCTCAAGAGAGTTGCTTATTTTACCATCCAGTTTCACATTTGAAAAAAAAGGTTAGCTACTTTTGCCATGCCTGTCCATGTGTACTGTGCTTGGGTGCATAGATAGGTGAACACAGGTTCTTGATTTTACTTGAACGCCTTATCCTGGCTCCTCAGTGTAATGCAATATTGCTGATTACTGGAATATCTTTTACACATATATGCAAATCCTGACTTCAGGTCATACCATAATATCTGGTTGGGAGCTTTGTAACCTAAGGGAGACCTGGTTTCTGAATGTTGAGAACATGTGTTCAATTAATAGGAAACTCCAGCCCTTGCAGCTGGCTCTCTGAAAAGAGTTTTGCTTCCTGCTTATGGCTTTCTGCTCAGCATGTCTCCTTTGCACAAGTAGCAGTGATTTCCTTTAGCAGCCCAGAAGAGAGTTGGAAAGCAGTCAATCGGAGCCAATTCATTCAAAAGCAGAGAACCTGAGATCTCTGTGATAGGCATAAAGACAAATAATGTTAAGTGCCACAAAGAAGACACACAAAGGTGGCAACAACTCAGCCCGCCAAGTGTGTCATGTGCTTTAAGCCAGACATGCACCCTGGCATGGCAGGAAGGTTTTGGAGTTGCCTCAACCTGCCTTCAATTCTAGTTGTTCCGTTTACCTGTGGCACTAGACAAGTTATTGAAGCTGTTAACTCCTCTGCAGAATGAAGCCAGGGAGTGAATGGTTGGAGTGAATGGAAGTGAATGGTTGGAGTTGTTTAGAAGTTTTAGCTGGACCTTTAATAGAGGGTTGAATTTTTCCAGGGAGAGGGTCAGTAAGAAGGGAACCTAACAGAAACAAAAAGAGATCTATCTATATAGATACATCATTTACAGGAAAAATATATGGGGATGCTTAAAAACAAGGTAAATCTCTTGGATGCTTCATATATTTGCATTTAATGACTCAGCTGAAACCATGCCTTTACATGTTCTTGGCAAATACCCAGTTGCCCGCGGCTTTGTGTTGCACAGTACTGGAAATTTCCCTCTGCTGTGGTGCCCATGCTTGTTTTGTTTTGTGTTTGGTTTTTTTTGTTTTTTTTTCCTAAACAATCCTCAGTGCTCGTGGGAGCAATCTGGACATGAGATAGAAGGGTATAATCATCATGTCCCTAAATCTAATTTTAGTCATAATACAAAAGTAGGCAATAGTATGGACATCCATGAGCCCCAACAGCCAGTTTTAACCATTATCCTCTCAACTTATGTCCAGTCACATTTCATCTGTATTTCCCTTCATAATTTTAATCCAAAAACATTTCAGGAATTATCTGACATAATCATACTATCATTATTATACTCCAACAGTAATTCCTCAATATACTGCAACAAAACTCAAGTGTCTAGTTAAATGTCATAATAAAGTATTTCTTTTTTTTTGTATAGTAAGTTTTCTTAAGGAAACCAAGACTCTTGTCCTGTTGAGTTTCTCACAGTCTGAATTTCTGAAAGCTTCCTCTTAGAGTAACAGGTTTCTCTGTCCTCTGTATTTTCTGAAAATTGACAGCTAGATCTAGAATTTGATCAGATTCAGGTGTCTTTAGTAGGTTTTTTGTTTGTTTCTTGAAGCCCGTGATGAGTAGGGAGGTTTTGGGTTGTTTGGATAGTTTGTGATGTTAGTAGCCAAACCATTAATTCATTACAAGTCATACAGTGGTGATACTTTGATTCTATAATTTTTTTTTCTTTAGTAGTTTTAGAACAACTTTCTAAAGAGATAGTACTTATTTTACATTTGATTATCCAATGTAGCCCCAATTTTAAGAATGGAATTCATTTTACTATGGACATGGAGAAAACAGAACCTTGTTTTCACACCATACTGATCCATTATACATCTGAGATATTTTCTCAGATACCATATTGAAAATTGTTAATGCTTCCCCCGCCTTTTTTTTTCTCCGAGACCTCTGCTCTAAGACTAAAACCATCTTGATAAATGCAGTGTTTAGGTGTAAAGGATTGAATTTGGAGTAAAACAGATTTTACCAGTCAGGCTTGTTAGTCTCTAAGCTGCTATAACAGAAAATCTCATAAACTGGGTAGCTTCTGAGCAAAAGTTTTTCTTTCACAGTTCTAGAGGTTAGGAAGTCCAAGGTCAAGGAACTGGCCAGTTGGATGTCTGGTGAGCACCTGCCTCCTCATAACCATCTCAATTCTCACTTAATCTCACAAGGGGTGAGGGTACTCTGTGATCTCTAGTCTCATTCATGAGGGCTTTATTTTCATGACTTAATATCCTTTAGAGGCCCACCTCCTAGCACTCTCACATTGGGGATTAGATTTCAACAGATGAATTTGGAAGGGACACACACATACACACCATAGTAAGGATCAAACTCAAGAAAAATATTCTGTGAACAGAAATGGACTTGTAAATTCAGTTAACATCCTATGCTGTTGTTTCTCTAGGTTTCAGTAGACCGGGTTTTAAAGACCCTGAAAGAAAATGCCAACAAAGCCAAAAGTTTACTCCTTACTGCCATACCTCAGATAGGATCCATGGAATGGTCAGAAACCCTCCATAACCTGAAGGTAAGTGTCCTGAGCCATCTTTGCAAGCATACACTTCCAGAGACTTTAGACATCATCTTCTCACTTCCATTTCACCCTGGGTCTATTTCCCTACATATTTTATGCAATCGTGAATATTTTTTCAGTAAGTTTTCATGCCATTTACTACCATACCAATCACTTATGAAACTGAACAATCGTATTTTCTGACTAATAATGCAAGACCAAGACCATTGGAAACTGGGGTGGGGAGAGTTTATTATCTTGTGTCCCATATTATTCACATTGTCTTGCAGTACATCACTAAGTCTTTTTTTGTTTGTTTGTTTTCAAAGCTATTTTCTCTTTGGTAGATTCATAGAAAATGTTGGCAAGCATTCAAAACTAGAACTGACATAGCAATACCAAGCGTCAGGGAATATGTGACGCAGCATGGGATCAGACTAACAGTCATTAATGATGAACATGAAAATGGTTTCAGATTGGTAGCTTTCCAACTTTAGTATTAGTTCCCAGAATATAATTTATACTAACTGCTAAACTGAGAAGTACATGATGCCTTGAATTGTTCCAGTTAAAGAGGGCTGTATCTTAAAGTCTCCTAGAGACACTTGTATTCTTTGGTCTTATAACACGTTGAGAGGAGCTATAAAGGTTTATAGAAGCCCTACCTACCTCGATTACCACTTAGGAGTTCAGAAATGAGAGCTACAGTTTTACTGTGATGAGACTACTATGTGGTGTTTGTTGACTTATATTGTATAAATACTCCAGGACAGTCTGTGAAGCTGCCAACGTGGAGCCACTGAGAAGTTGGGAAATGGCTCCTGCAAACTGGTACAAGCACGTTCTAACACACCACTATTACTAAGATGTCTCAGCTTGTAGGACTGGCCAAGCCATGAGTGTTAAAATTAATTATCCTCCCTACTAGGACTCATATCTGTTGACTTCAATACTGTGTACCTAGGAGATTTTTTTTGAGACCGTGTCTAGCCATGTTGCTGGGCTGACCTTGAGCTTGGAATCCTTCTGCTGTAACTGGGGTTACAGGCATATGCCACTACACCTGGCTTTGAAAATGTTATTTAAGAATAAATGATAGTCCCTTTCCTCCATGAAGTGTTTTATCATAATTGAGATACAACCTTTATTATTATTCTAATTATGGAGAATAGAAAAACAAAAAATATTCTATGAAATAGCAAATGTTGGTTTAAACTGAAACCAAGTGGCTTGATTTTGATTTTTTTTATTTCATTTTAAAATGTTACATTCAACTAAGTATAATGCAGGGCAGCAAATCCTCAGCTTGTATGATAATCACGTGTTGGTTTGCTGGAAATATCACTCAGATTTTTGTTGCTGAAGGGACTTGTTTACCTTCAAGCTATGATAGAGATACAATTTTGTGGGGAAGAGGGAAGTCTCCCAACGGACCCCAACTTCACCATAGACTCTTGAATTTGAAAGTAATTTCTTAGGTAAAAAATGCTTCAGTGGTAGAAGCCTTTTTGTTTTAAGCTTCTGACTTTGTTACATTTATTCACTTTTAAAGAAGGTGAGTGTGTCATCAGATTTTCAGAGAGGTAAAAGAGAAAAAAAGAAGAATTGCTAACAAAATTGAGTTATTGTGGCCTTCATTCTGGGACACTAAGGACTACCATACAAACAATTCCTTGACTAAGTAGTATTTTCAGTCTTCTGAGCACTGAAATGTATATCATTCATTCACTCGCTCACTTAATTCATTTCAGCAATATTGATGTGCCTGTATGTCAAGCTCTGGTTTAGAAAGGTTCACAAAGACTTCTTGTGATGATTCTATCCTGTTGAAAATATAGACACATTAAAATTTCGGTGATTTTTTTTTTTTTTCTTTTAAAAATGAGATAGGAATAAGAGCTAGAAGATGCATAAACAACAATCCACGCTAAGGTTGGAACATAAAATGTATCCTAATACATGGATGGATATGAGTGACTATCAGAATATTCTTAACCTCATTTAGGGGAAAAAGAAGTGACAAAACATACCTGTAATCCCAAACACTCAGGAAGTTAAAATAGGAGAATTGCAAGTACAAGGCCAACTTAGTAATTTAATGAGACAGACCCCGTCTCAAAATAAAAAGGGCTGGGGATCTCGCTCAGTAGTAGAATGCTTGCCTAGCATGCTCTGTGCCATGGATTCGGTCCCTAATACCATACACACACATACACACACACACACACTGTTCTGAATAATCTACAAAACCAAAATCTGGAGGATTTATTGCTGTTGTTGAAGTCCAGTTTTAGCAAGTACTTCAGGTAATTAGCATACTCACCTATGCCTACAATGCTCATCACTTTCTGCTTTCTTCCTTTCAGAATATGGCCCAGTTTTCTGTTTTATTACCAAGACACTAAAATCGTTTTTTATTACTGCTCAGAAGAAAAGAAGACTTTACAGTTATTTTGGATATTTTGCTTACCTTGAGGGGAAAACAAAACAAAAACTTGGGAAAGACATGCAGCTTATGTGTCCTTGCCTGCAAAAGAAGAGCAGGTAGAAAGACATCGCACGTATTGGAGACTCTGCCTTAAAAATTGAGACTGTTTGAGAGCAATGAGGAAAAGCAAATGAACAGGAAATCTTACATTTTGGGAAAACACCAAGAAGAGAGCATTCTCACCTCACTTCCCTTATTAAGTTTGCAACAATAAAGATTTGAGGGTAATACTCACTTTCCTACATTGACATGGAATATGGGGAAGAAATGGGACTCTGGTTATTTATTATAAATTGGTACAATCGTTTTGGAGGGCAGTTTGGCAAAATGCATCAGAAACCTTAGAAATACTTATGCACTTTGTTGGAAAGTCCTAGGAATTTCTCCTTCAAAAATTATTGGAGAATCATACAAAAAACTATGTATGAAGAGAGATGTTTAATAGTTACTGTTAAGATAGTAAGTTTTCACAACAATCTGGATTTCCAACAACTGAAGGTTATTTATGGTTTCAGTTATCATTAGATTGTAAAGCAATCAGCTGGCGATCATGTTTTCATGTAATATTTAATGTTCCAAATAAATTGTCCATGTATATTACAGAATGGGAAAAAAGAAATCATTTTCCTGTTCTAGATTTGTTTTAAAAATGCTATGTAACTGTAAAAAGACTAGAAGGAAATATACATAATCTTTTGTTATTGTATTTGGGAGAGGAATACTAAATAATTTTAATTTTCTTTTGAATCTTTCTGAATCTTCACATTTTTCTACAATTAGTAAAATAATAAAGTCATAAAAATAAAAGTGGATTTAAACACTTTCTGGTAATGAATCAAAATTTAAGAGGAGTATTGTTTAAGGAAGTTAGTTCTTTTTCTATTAAAAAAGGACAGTTGGTTGCTACACAGTCAGCTTGGATTTTCTTTCATCAGCTTCCAGAAAAAAGCCACATGATTAATTCTGAGATTGTCTAAATGTTGAAACTGTTATAAGGGCTGTGGTTGTGGATCAGGGGTAGAGCACTTGCCTATCATGTGTGAGGTACTGGGTTCCATCCTCAGCACCACATAAATAAATAAAATAAAGTCCATCAACAACTAATAAAAATATTTTTTTAAAAAAACTTGTTTTAAAAAGTAAATACACTTTAGTGTATCTGGTATTTTTAAACTAATATTTTTCTACTCCTTATGAGTTGACATTATTTTTCATGAGTTGGTGATTCTTATTTCTTCATAGAATTAAAAGTGAACCTTTTTACTATATATTTTATATTATTGATCTTATAGGAATATTTAAGTTTTGTATTATTAAGAGATCATTTTTTTTCCTCAGATTCTTTTTTTTCCTAACATGTTATATATTACAAGATACTTAGGATAGGGGCAATGGGATCTTTTGTTTAAAAAGTATAAAGGTAATGTATTTGTGTCTGATATTGACTTCAAGATAATAAGCTGCTAAGTGTAAAGATTAAGGAAGCCAGTCACCCTCCAGCCATGACACTGAGCCCTTTGGGTTACATGTGATTATGACACTCGGACTCCTTGATACAGTGGTTTCAACTCTGGTAGAGGTCCACAGAGAACGTGGGTTCTCCAGCTGTGGAACCCACAGTGTTCTGCACTGTAACACAGATCATACCTTACTTTGCATCATTATTAGTAGGTGCCCAAGAATGTCAAGGCAGAAGCGTGGGCATTTGTATTGCTGCCTTTAGAAAATAGTTTTTTTCCCCACTTTGGAAAAGAACTTTTCTGTGTCTAGTAGCCTTTTCTAGCAGTTTCTTAAATAGGGTAAATTCTCATATTGCTTGTTATTAATCATTCGCCCTGTATACAGAGCCAGTATAATTTTCTTACCTCATGTTTGGGGATGTTGCTCAATATCTACTGGAACACTTCTCACTTCTCTGCTACTTGATATTTTTCCCCCCAGTACTAGGGCGTAAAACCCAGGACCTTGCGTGTTATAGGCGAGTGCTCTACCACTGAACTGCGTCCCCCGCTCTATTTTTTTTTTTAATTAAGTGAACAGTATAGTCAGTTTTGACCATTTTGAAAGGATGATAGGCATATGGGAAAGCTCTGGCTTAGTGATTTCGCATCTTATTTGATTGGATTCGCATCTGCTTCAAGTGGGATTTTTATTGGCATTATAATCTGATCTTGTGTTTGTCATTGATGTTCATAATTTTAAGAATGGCAACCCAAATAATTAATAAGTGAAGTGTTACGTTTGATACCTGAAAATATTTGGCAGATTAACCTACATGTATTCAGAAATTGTAACAGGTAAGTGCTGGGGAATGGCTAAAATTCTCATTGACATGAGCTGCTCTAAATAAATGACACATCATTTCAAATATGTGCAGTCAGTTGTCAAAAAGAACAGAGATGTATCTTTTGTGTACTAGTGTGGAGCAATGTAATAAAAGTGTCAATCAGAAAAATATGTAAAGTAAAATAAGTATGCAGTTTGGGCATGTGGATAGCATATTTATGCTCTGTTCATAGGAAGTTTCTGGAAAGAAACTTAATGATAAGCTCTGAGGAAAGAAGACTGGAAGACAACTGGCTTCATTGCAGTTTATGTAAATGAGGTAGAATTTCTGTTTCTTGGTATTAAATTCTGCAACATGGTATTCAGTTTTGGTCACAGCACTTTAAAGGGGAACATTGGCCATCTAAAAAGCACCAATAAAGGGATGAGGCAACTGGGAAACACAGGGCCACATTAGTAATGGTTAAAGGAATTACATACATCCCACCATTGAAGAGAAAACCTTGAATAAAAACTTCATGTATAAAAAGCTCAGTCACAAAAAAGTCAGTTATAAAATTCTGTCTCTTTACTATTTTTTAAGCCCCATAAAGGCAGGAACCATATCTTTTTTACTTTCTAATTTAGTGTAGGATCTGTTCCTTGTACTTAGCATATAGTGAATAAACATCTGTGTAAAAAAAAAAAAACTGATAACATCTCAATATGCTTTCACAGCTCTCTCAAACTCTCCATCCTCACTTTCAGCGGGTTCCCTCATGGACAAAATGGAGGGAGGCATCAGAAGAGAACTTCCAAGGACCCCCTTCTCTCTCCTGACCTGTTTTCCAGAGTGTCACCATCCACGATGGTGCTTCTCGAGCTTACATATCAACATCACCTGAAGGTCTTATTACGTTGCATGGCTCCAACTCAAGAGTTTCTGACTCCTGGGGTGTCTGGTGAGACCTGATAATTTGCATCTCTAATAAGTACCAAGTGACACTGCTGATCCAGGAACCCCACTTTGAGAATCCCGTATTATAGCCATTTCTGCTTCATCATCCTCTTAAGATCTCAGACTTCTGACACAAAGACATCACTGGCAACACTGCCTTTCAATCTAGATTCCCCTCTTCATTGGATCATTTCACCACAAGATTATTTTTCATTAAATTTATCATGTGTATGGTATTGGGGATTGAAACTAGAGCTTCATGCATGGTAGGCAAGTGTTCTACCAATCAACTAAACCCAAAGCTATCATTAAAACTCTTACCCTGAATTCTAGGTCATTTTTGTCTCATCTTTTTTGCCTTTTATTGAAATAAAATCCCTTGAAGAGTTATCTATTCTCGGTGCTTCCAATTCATTTTTCAGCCCACTCCAATTCAGATTTTGCCATCATCCATGCCCAGCACCACCAAAATTATTCTCAAGGTCACCTTTTTACTTATGTAATGGTTGATTCTTAGACTTCAACCTTCTTTTCCTATAGGCAGTGTTGTGCTAGGAGCTCTCCCTCCCTGAGCAGCTTTCTTCACTTGGCTTCTGGAGGCACCACGTCTTGCTTTTTTTTCTGTCTCAATGCTTGCTGCTTCTCAGTCTCCTTTGCTGGTTCCTAACCGTCTCCCTGGTTGTCCACCCCGAGGCTCAGTTCTTAACAATCGCTTTACATCTCCCCTACACCTGCTTTCCCAGCATTCTTCCATCTCAGTAATTGGCAGTTTTCATCCTTCCAGGTCCCCAGACCAAAACCTTGGAGTCATTGTTTCTATTTAAAACCCTCATTTATCAAGAAACACTATTTACTGTAACCACTGCCTCCACCCTAGACTGAGCCACTCTCATCTCTTACCTGAACACTGCAATAACCTAACAGGTCTTTCTGCTTTCATGCACCACTTATAGCAACCCAGGAGCCAGGATGGTCCTTTTAAAAAAATTTTTTTAAAAAACATCATTTCTCTGCTCCAAAATTCTGGGTCCTCAGGGTAGCCCATGCATTCCCATGTCATCTTCACTTGCCCTGAATTTCAGATTTCCTCCCAGTACCATCCCTTTAACTCTGCGCTTTCCACTGGCCTTCTTGCTTTTCTTAGAGTATGCCAGGCCCTCTCTTCCTTTCACACCAGAGTATTTCATTTGTTCTCCTACCCGGAAATCTACTACAGCACTACCTTTAAATCTGTTCAAAAATTAGTGGATCAACCTCAAACATCCTATTTCAACAGAATGTAATCATATCTCCAGCAAGCTAAGGGACTCACCTGGCCTGCTCCCCACCCCCCATTGCTCTTAACTCCTGCCAACATACTCTAATATCTGTTATATTTGTTCATTTGTTGACATACCCAGTAAAATGTGAACTCTAAGGGTGAGAACCTTATCACTCAATGATAGCCCAAATGATCAGGTTAGTTCTTGGCATTCAGTAGGCTTCCAGCCAATACCGCTTTGAATATACAGCTTCCCAATACACACAGCTTAGGAAACCCTGCACGTTCTGGAATGTTGTGGTTTGCTCCTGTCTCTTTCCACCTTTCACAGTTTATGACATTCTAGGTTAGCACTGTCTGATAGAGGGAGAATGTGAGCTAATAGGCAATTTCAAATTTTCTAAGAGCCACATTTAAAAAGTAAAAAGAAACAGGAAATTAATCATAATATTCTAGTTACTTAACCTAGCATATCTAAAATATTTTGAAGACAATATATCAATATAAAAAAAACAGTTTACCAGATGCTAAATTTCCTTCAGAAATATTTTATCTCTATTTAAATGATTTAAATTCCATAAAAATTCACTTTGAGAAAGTAAATTTGCCTAATTATTCTAAGTATATTGAAGTAGATCTCACCAATTTTTTAAATTTAATTAAAATTACATGAAAAACTCATTTTTTTTTTCTGTTGTATTAGCCACATTTTAAATGTTCAACAGCCACACATGTCTAGTGGCTGCTATATTTAGCAGCTTAACTGTGACTCTAACACAGGGCAGAACAGGCTGGCACTTGCCTCTCGCCTTTTATAACTGTTGTCCTCCCACCTGGAAGATTGTCCTCTTTGCTCCACCATCACCTCCTTTATCAGACCCAATTTCAATTACCCCTTCCTCTATACTCTTAATACCCAACATATTACATTATTATTATACTGTTAGAATAATCTAATGTGTTGTTCATTGGTGCCAGGGATAAATCTGTCTTGTTTACTTTTGCATCCTCATATTTTTTTACCTTAGTGGCTGACAAAAGGTACTATATATATTTCTTAAATAAATGTAGAAGTCTATGAAATTTCAGCATATTGATATTTTAGTCATGCTTCTATTAGTCATACTTCTATTTCCAGCTCAACTCAGTTCTTCTAGGAAGCCCTCAGACCAGCCCATGGTAGAGACTCCCTTTTATTCCCAAACCACTTGGATTCCATATTGCTCAAGGACCATTGGTTTTATGTGGTTTACCATATACAAATTCTTACTCCCTAACCGGATAATGAAAACTGGAAGAACAGGAATTTGGGAAAAGAAGATGACTCACATTAGGTATTCAATAAAAACCTGATGAACTATTCAATGCATTGTCTGATTTCAGTCTTGTAACTCCTCCACTAGGATAAATGAAACGTTTTCTCCTTTTAACTACAATGTTAAAAACTATCTGCTTTCAAATGAAGAAATGAAACTACTTCCTGTACCCCGCTTTGCCTGCATGTCTGTGTATTTGATCATTCATCAAAATGTCATTTGTATCACAGACTTCTTCATTTCATTTATTATCTATTCTGTTGATGCAGGGAACATGTCCCTCCATATACATATATACACTGATATTAGTCATCAAAATGTTATGTACAAACTTTCATATATTGCTGCTGGGCTAAAAAATAATTATTAAAGAACAAAGCTTATTTTTCACTTTTACTTTGAAGCATCCTACAGTCATCTAGCTACAGAGGATAAAAGCAAACTAAATTATGAAACTTATGCCAAGATCTGTTTTATGTAATATAGAGCAAGCAGTAACTCTTTTTCCCTTGCTTCCTACCAGATTGGAGAAAGAGGAGGGATGAGTGGAACAAGGATTACATATGTATCAAAGCTTCTCCAGTTCTCATATTTTGTGACTATAGTCTTTATGATAAAGAACCCCAGAGGCAATATGGGACCTGCTCCAGGTGGCTGTAAGCCTGATATCTCTGTTAACAGCTCAATTCATGATAAAGATGTTGGTGACCTGGCATGGCAGAAACCAAAAGTCTGCTTTTCAAAAAGGAATGAATATGCTTTATTCATCAAGTGAATATGTTGGTGCCTTAATTAATGTTACTAGACCCTCACCCCAATTTTCCCAATTTATGCCCCCATTACCTTAGAGCTGATGGGTAATGAGAATGTAGTAGGTTTAAAAAGGAAAACCTAAGATGGAGATAATTGACTTTTCTCTCTTTTTTTTTTAAATATGTATTCGGTTTTCTTGACAGTTATTTCCATCTTTGATCACTCAACTTGTCAGGTAATCTATCTTACAAGGAGAATTTCCTCAAGGAAATTCCTATATAAATTACAGGCTCCTATAAATTGCAAACTGGTTTAGATGTCATTCATATGGTCCTGGCTTCATTCCTTATACACTTAATGAATAGCTGCTAAGGTCTGAGTATCTGTGTCTTCCCAAAATTCACACATGGAAGCCTCCTTCATGAATGGAATCAATGCCCTTATGAAAGAAGCCTGAGGGAGCTTGTTTGCCCCTTCTCCCATGAGAGGAGACATCTATGAAGCAGAGTGGGCCTCAGCAGACACTTAATCTGCTGCTGCCTTGACCTTCAACTTTCCTACCTATGAGCAATAAATATCTGTTGTTTATAGGTTTTCCCAGCCAAGATATTTTGTTATAGCTTCCCAGATGGATAATTGAGCAGCCAATAAGATGTTTAAACTGAATAATCATGAAAATGGAACACGAGTCATAATAACAGGAACTTGAGGAAATGGTTTTTGAAAAAGTACAAAGATCAAAAACTATGCCTGATTTTGTTAGTATTTTGTTACAAAGCAAAGTTTTTCAGAATTAAAAAAAAGTGGATGATTTC